GCTTAGGTTCTTATTTGGGTTATGCATTTCAAGCCGGCTGGGTCAATATGAAGAACATACGATTATGACTGTATCAGGTGTTGAAAAAGACATCATTAGACAAAATTGCATGATATTTGGTTTAAGAGAAAAGAAATTATATCATAGCAAAAATGTAGTGTTATGATTGCATTGGAAAGATGCAGTAAGAAAAAATTGCATGATAATGTTAAAAGAAAATTATGTCATAGTAAAGATTTATGATTACTTCATCGCAATTTATATCAGGAATGCAATTAGAAAAATTGCGTGATGGTTATAATGAGTTTAAGAAAAGGAATTATATGTCACAAGATTACCTTTATTGAATTATGTATTCAAATCTAGAGGAATTAGGGAAGTCCCAAGTAAAAATAATGTAAGTTGTAGTGAAAGTATAGAATTCACATGATTGAATTATATCGCAAATTAACAATTAATCATAATAAATTATGGCGAAAGTGTAAAATCAAAAATGTATTTAATCAATGCTTTTTGACCTTGAATAAATTTTCATCAATAAAATTTGATTCGAATTCTTTATTTTTGTTTAATTGAAATTGTTACATTTAATAAATTCGTCATTCTGAACTTTACATATACTTGATATAAAGTATCGCTTATATTATATTTAATACATTTATAATAAGTTAATAACAAATAGTTTCCATTGATATTAAATTGCTTAATATTATATTATATTACATACTAAAGTTACAATAAAATAAAATAAAAAATAGAATCTCAAGAAAAATCTATATACACTAATGAAACCGATAGTGAAAGTGATAATAATAATATGACTTCCTCTACAAACACATTAGCCGATACTAAAAAAAAGAGAAATAGAAGTAAGAAGAGTTTTGTATGGAAGTACTTTAAAGTAGTTGAAACAAAAGGTGAAAAAAAAGATGTATGTCAAGTTATGATTAAGAAAAAAGAAGAAGATAAAAAATGTGAAGTGGAATACGTCCATGACAATTCAACATCAAATATGATTGCTCATCTAAGATCGCATAATATTGTAGACAATAAAAAACAAAAATCTAAAACACAACAAAATAAACAAACTACATTAACTGAAATAATCCGATCTAATATTCCACATAAGAGTGATAAGCAAAAAGAATTAAATAAAGCAGTTGTTGAGTAGATACTTTTCGATAATCAACCATTATCAGCACCAAGAAAAAAAGGATTTCGTCAAATGATAGCAAAAGTTGATCCGAAATTTCATCTACCTTCTGATAGAGTAATAAGAAATGAAATAGCATTTAGTTACTTAAAAAATATTGATATTCTTCGGTATGAAATCGAACAATCTTGCAAAACTGCTACTATTACAACTGATTTGTGGACTTCGCATAATAATCAAGGCTATATTGGGATTACTTGCTACTGGGTAACTTCTGACTGGTCATTACGTAGTGTATTATTGTGTTGTGAAAAAATGTCTTGTCCACATACCGCAGAATCTATTTACCAATTTATTCAAAGAAAATGTTTTGAATATAATTTAGAAAATAAAATTGTATGCGCCATTACTGATAATGGCGCAAACATGGCAAAAGCTATTCGATTATGAAACACTGTTACCTGGCTTCCATGTGCTGCACATACTCTGCAGTTAACAGTTAATTCTTCTTTAAAAAAAATTAACTCAAAAACAAAAAAAATAAAAAAATTAGTTAATTTTTTTGATTCACCTAAACAACAAGAAAGATTAGAAAGGGCTCAAATAAATGTAATGGAAAGAGATAAATTACCTCAGTCTAATTTAATTAGTACTGAATCTTATTTTGAGGAAGAAGAAAGCGGTGAAGTTAATGATGGTGTTAGTACAGATTCGGAACGACTTAATATAAATGTTACTCCCAAAACTATTCGTCTACTTAAAGATTGCCCAACTAGGTGGAACTTCACTTATAGATCTTGGGAAAGGCTTTTAAAACTAAAAGATGCAATTATATAGTTAGAAGCCAATTTAAAAATTTCACGTAATTCGGATGATAAAAAAGATAGACAAAATCTTGCTCAATGTTTATCTGATGAAGACGAATGGAAGTTAATTGAAGAATTAGTTAAGGTCTTCGAGCCATTTGACCAAGCTACTGAAGCATTCAGTGCTGAAAAATATCCTACATTGTCGGTTGTGTATCCTATTATTAAAATATTAAAATTTGAATTTGCAACAAATTCAAATTTAACCTTAAGTGAGGACGATTTCAATGAAGAATATGGTAATTTTTAATAATTATTTGAATTTTCTATCATAAGTTATTACCAAAATACAATGCTAATATTTACCTTTTTTTATAATTAGATAGCGATAATGATAATGAAGACGCACAAATACTAGATACTAATGATATCCCATCAATAATTGTTTATACTAAGCAAGCAATTTATAATTCTCTTTGGAAATATTGGGGTGAACCAAAATACACCGGTCTTTTAGCTACTTTACTAGACCCTCGGCTTAAAAAAATGCGTCCTTGGTCTAGTTATCTACAAGAAGAAACAATAAGAATATGCTGTAAAGAACTTGATAACATTATTGATGCAGCACTTATACAATCCATTTCTTCCACCAGTACTACTTCAACTAATCGTTATTTTGCATCAATATTTGATGATAACGATAATGATAATCTATTAAATAATAAGAGCGAATTGGATAAATATTTAGAAGCATCGCTTGCATCACCATCAAAACGACCTTTAGAATGGTGGAAGGAACGAGAAAAAGATTTTTCAAATTTAAGTAAGTTAGCAAAGAAGTACTTATCTATCCCAGCAACTTCAGTGCCAAGCGAACACTTATTCTCAGATGCAGGAAATCAAATAACGCCAAAATGAACATGTCTCAGTTCAGAAACTGTTTCTCAAATATTGTTTTTAAAAAGGAATAGTGAATTAATTAGTATCATATAAAAAAAAAAATTAATTTTCAACTATGTAAAATTCTTTTCTGATCTCTTATGCAATATAAGTAATCTATTAGTAAATATATATTGTCACGGCTAAAACTTGAACCAGGGACCTTGATTTAAAAATATAAACTCTACCTATATTCTTTTATTATCAAAACTAACCCTAAACCCTAATCCAACTATTAAAAAAAGCACCACAAAAATTTCTAAAAATTTCATATTAAAATTAAAATTTCAAGCTTCAGCCGCGACATATATTATTAACCAGTTGATTATAGAATAGGATTACCTATATTATAAGAGTTTTTTTTTGATTTTAAATAAAAACTATTAAATGCTTTAGTTATAAAATACCGTATAGGATTTCAGAACTATTCTTTCGCATATGACATGTCATGGTTGAAGTCAGCATCTACTTGAAGCTTTAAGTGTTTAAAATTGCACTAACTGAAGTTAGCACCCGAAATTAGATCCTTAGCATTAGTGATTTTAAGCAGGTTTAATTTTATTTTACTGCAAAAAAATCATTTAAAACTTACTCGCTGTTGCGGTAACACACAGTATGTCATCATAATTTACTCTAATCCATTTAAAAAACTTACTGTAATTTAATGATCGCATGCATCACGAAATTTTATTGGATGTAATCACGTGAAAATTAACCAGGTTAACCGGGTTAGGCGGGTTAAGCGGGTTAGGTGGGTTAACCGGGTTGGTATCCGGGTAAGGGTTAAATAAACGGGCGGGTGACCCGGAGTAGAATTTTATACCGGGCCTAATCTCTAATACCAACCTTATATCTTCATAGACTAAATTCTTTTTAGGGTGATTTTACCACGTTTGTAAATAAGCTGCAGATTGGCCTACATTATGTAACACATGATATAATTTTGACCAGAATTATGTGCGACAATAACTTTTTATATAAGAAATTCGACCAATAAAATTATTCTACAGTATAGGTATGTAAATCTCAACGACCTGGCCATTATTTGATTCCTTGGGATCGTTCACAATCTCTGCTCTCGGGACCATAGGGCAAAATTTAAAAATATTCATTTGGGGAGGATATGTATTTACGGTATTCATTTGGGGGATATGTATTTACTGTATAGAGAGCATTTTTTATATGGTTCTATAAAACTTTATATAGTAGATGTATTTATAGAGGATGCAATTATGGAGGTCTGTATCGTATATTGTAGCATAATCGGGAAGTTATGTAGGATTTAAAAAAAGACAAACGTATGACATAACTTATATACGTATAATAGTATATTATATATATAGTAGGTTATACTAGAGTACTACCTAAAGGAGTATAGTCGGAAAATCAAAAGTAGTTGCGTATGACAGGTTTTATAACCATACTCACGTGTATGATAGATAATCAAACGATCAAAATAATTTTATCGATTTCCTGAATTTGTATTAAAAGTATGTGCTCT